GGTCTGCTTCCTTAGTGCGATGTGTCCTTCGTGACTCTTCCCTCCTTAACTTCCCTCACCCGACCTCCTTTGAAGGCCGGTGAGAGTGCCTTTCGCTCCTGGTGTGCTGAGGGGCTATAAGGATTGTTTCCTGTCCTCCCTTCTGGGCATTGGTCCCTGGAATCGGCCTGTCCAGCAGCGGGAATGGTGGCTGCATGACGTTGTTTTGCATTATGATGTTGACGACCGCTTATAGGTCCGCCAACTTGTTTACCTTCTCTTTCACTTCTTCATCCCTCCGTAGGCATCCATCCCTCCATACCTGGAGGTTATCTTCGTAATAGTACCTGCTTTGGCCTGGTACGTCACCCTCTTGGCCGACGTCTTTTACTCCATGATTCTGGTCACGAGTTTCTGTGTTGCAGTTGTCTTCTTCGACGTCAAGGTCAATAGGTCTGCCACTCCAGGTCTGCCACTCCTAGCAGGAGTGTCATCCCCAATCTTTTCCTTCTGTTCGTTACTGGCCATCTATCCTCCTTAATGTTCCACAGACAGCGCCAAATTGTGTGAGTGAATTTCTGACCACACTGCCAACTCAGTATTCAGCTGGAAAGTACTGGCGAAATAGATGGCGCCCGAATGACCTGCAACAGAAAGAAGAGACTCCGGCAATGGTTCGTCCACCTGGGGGCACTCCGATGATTAAATCAGTAATCAAATATCTCTCACAGATAATCAATTGTGCTAAACTTACTGTTCTGAATATAAATTGCGTACCTTCGACCCATCAGGGATGCCTTTCTTTTATAGTTAACTCAATCATTGTCCCAATAGAAGCCTAGCTTCAATGGACTTTAGCTCAATGCTTATCCAGGACTCTTCAATAGATAGAGATAAACTCCCTAAAAGCTTTATCTTTATCCAGGCTGAGTCCCCTCATCAGCCTAGGACTCTTGTGCCTTATCCACTTATCTCGGATTCCAATATCTTCGGAGATAACCTCGGGGAGCACGTTGGGTTTTGTCATCTTCTCCCTTGGGGCTCCGGATTTGAGGTAGGGATATCCTATTCCTCTCTATGGATTTTGTCTTTAAATTTTAGTATTTTGAGATGTTGGGGTTGGTTTGGTAATTTTGTGAAAGTTTGGGGCTTTTGTGCAATTTTACAAAAGTTGGGGTTTATTGTTATTAATCCAACCTAATGCTGTTTGGCATAGAGAAATGTGAATAAATGTTGGAGACATTAATCGAAAATGAACCTAAGGTGTGTGAATGTAATTATGGAAAAGCCCTAATTACATTGGTTAATTAATTTGTAAAATTAATTGGGAGGAATGAGGAATTGAGTTGGGAATGTTGAGATTGGAAATATATGGATTAAAGGGTGTAGTTGATTTTTATGTCACTCACCTAGTGAAATGTTGATTTTATATCCATTTGTTGCTTTTATTTCTGTATAAGAAATAATGCTTTGGGCTATCGGTGGAAGGTAGTCGTGATTGTTTGAGACAATGCATGGATAGGCGAACGGAAACTAACATGGAATGAATCACTAGTATGATGATTGAAAGACACACGTTAATTTATGTGTTGTGTGATGATGTGTATAATTGTTGTTTATATGCATTGTGTTGTGTTGGAGGAGATAGGGGATGTACTCCACGGTTTAGGGGAAGATAGGGGATGGACCTCTAAACCGGATGTGTTGGGAGGAGATAGAGCTCATATGCTTATCTATTAATGTGTTGGCAGAGCTCATATGCTTGTCATTGGAAGTGTGATAGTGCTCATATGCATATCTGTGGAAGTGATGATATAGCTTGTATGCTTATCTGCTGTTGTGTGATATAGCTAGTATGCTTATCTATTATGAAATGGGAAGTGTTTGATATGAGTTATTGTCTCATATGAGTTGATGGCCAGGTTCTGAGCCATGGTGGTAAACTGAGAATTGAAAGGAACTGGAAAATGAATTGTAACATGGACTTGTATGTCATGAAACTGTAAAGTGTGATAAGAGAAAGTATTACTGTTGGCCATCTATCAACTGCTAATCTTTTAGTCATTGTCCATATTTGGTTTAGTGTATTTCTGCTGGGCTGTGGCTCACCCTATATGGGAACATCATTTTCAGGTACAGGTAGCATGCCACCTCCAAGGACATAGCTTGGGAGGCTAGAGGCGGACACACTTTCGTTGTCTTACTTCCTTTTTGTTGTATTACATGTAAATTCAAGCCAAGGGCTTAATGTGTAAATGAGTTAGTACTTTTTTTGTAACCAAGTGTTAACTTGGAAAGCTATAAGCCCATAGGGCATTTGCTTTTGTCGTTAACATGTAATACCTTTTGTAATAGAACTACTCTGATGAATAGAAGAATGTTTATCTTTATTACCAATGCATGTCTATATTGATGGGTTTAGTGTTGTTATTTTGAGGGCGTTACAACCTCGGCCCTGTCGAGATCACCTCGACGTCATGACCAGGACACGTGGCACCTCGGCTGACACGTCGGTGTCACCTTGACCACATGTTGGTACTCAGAAAATATATCCCCACAACTAGTAAATCTCATCTGCATTACATAATTATGTCACCGTGAGATTCTTATAATTTGGTGTAACTTTATCTTTGGCTCCACTCTTACCATGAAGAGAGATTATTGGAATTACAGGTCGTTTTGCCTTTATCTGCAGGTGACTCTTGATGTCCATTTTCAGAAAGATTTGGGATTGGATAGCTTATATACTGTGGAGATTGTAATGGCTCTAAAAGAAGAGTTCAAGCTAGAGATTCCAAATAAAGAAGCTGATAAGATTGACTCTTGTTTTTTTGATCCAATCACATAATCACATCCCTCGTCAATCACAATTTATCATATCATCTCATATTTTTTAATCACTTACATAAATTCATGAATTCTAGCCTTCCACCAATCACAATACTGTTAAAATGTCAAGTAACGGTGGCCAAGAACCACCAATAACTTGTCTTTGGGGTACTACATATAAACTGCACTAACTAACCCACTTTATCTGGAGTTGGTTGGGGTCTTTATTCATTTCTTGATCTTGTGTGTAAAACCTCTCTGAAAACCCTTCCTCTCTCTTCTATCTTCTCTCTCTATTCCCATTCTTGAAAAGAAGCAACAATGGTGAATCAAGAAAGAAATACAGAGGCCACCGATGATGCAATGTCATCGTCTTTGGACAACAATCTCTCTCTCCCCATGGACATCATCTTCGACATTCTCAATCGTCTCCGTGTCAAATCTCTCCTTCGATTTAGGTGCGTATGCAAAACCTTCCGCCAACTCATCTCTAACCCTACCTTCATCTCCTCCCACCTCCTCCACCATCGCACCCCCACCACCACCGCCATCGCAACCATTTTCACCTTCAAACACCGCACCGCCACCTCCCTCTCTCTGTTACAATCACCCTCATCGTCTCAAAACCCTATCAATCTGGTCCACCCCTATTCCAACCACACTCGCAATCTACACCTAATCGGCTCCATCAATGGCCTTCTCTGTCTCTGTATCTCGAACCATCCACTCCATTACAATGCACGAAGAATGGTGAGATTATAGTATCAATGCATGAGAAAGGATATTTTTGTACAACCCTCGAAATGGAGAAACCAAAGATATTCCAATCCATGGAGTTCAGTTCGAACCTTTTCACTATGTAGAGAGTTTGGTTTCTATCAAAGGATTCAGACAACAAGAACTGAACAATCGGCACAGACGTTCTACAAAGGTAAATTCATCACTCAATCAGATAAATAACTTGAGCATTTGTTTATGCTACTTACTGCAATGCATTTGATTTATAGAAGGCTATTGTCCTTCACAGTTTACATAGCATTGGAAATTAGTTTTTTTGGGCTCTTGGAAGCATATGAATGACAGATATAATTGTAATTGGTTTTCAATTTAGCCTAATTTTGACTCTACCATTGATTGTGGTTTTGTTTGGTCTCTTTTTAATTTGTGAACATCTGTGTTCAACTGTTATAGTATTATTTGAGCCTGTTTCAGCGATGTGAGTCACGCGACTGTTGTCCAACATTCCCCCCAAAAATTATCCTACATTATAGTTTTGAATTTATTTTATTTATTTTTTTTAAATCTTATTTTTGTATAGTAGTGTTGTAGATTTTACTAAAGGTAACCACTGTGAATTAGAGAAAACAACAGAGAGGTGTTGGCAGTGAACAATCTTTATAATTTCATAAAAAGAAGTCCTAGATAAAACTAGAAGGCTCCATATTAACAAAATTATTTTAGACCTCAGATTTTTGGAATTTAATTTTTCCTTGACTTGATTGAACGTCAAATTTATAACGCAATTCTTTTCATCAGCAAATTTCTTTACCAGCGCTACATAATTATGTCTAGCATGGGATTCTCATATATCTCTGGCTACACTTGTAGCACGGGGAGTTATTGTTGGATTTGGAATTACAATTCATTCTGCCTTTATCTGCAGGTGACTCCTGATGTTCATTTTCATGAAGATTTGGGATTGGATAGCTTAGACAATATGCAGATTGTAATGGCTCTAGAAGAGGAGTTCAAGCTAGAAATTCCAAATAAAGAAGCTGATAAGATTGGCTCATGTTTTCTTGCAATTGAGTAAATCTATAACCATCCATTGGATAGTTAATATTAGCGAATTCCTTTGATTTGAGCTTCAATCCTATTTCATTTGCTTGTACTATCCTTAAAAAACAAGTGTTCTAGTCCTTTCTTTCTTTTGATTTTGGATGTTAGTACAAATTTTATTCCTGTTAAGGGATGGAATGGAAATAATTGGAGTTCTGTTTGTGTAGTTTGTAGGTTGCTTTGCAATGTTTGCTATGCTTTTGCTTAACAAGATCTAATGTTTCGTTCCTCTCAAATTTTGAATGAACTGGCACAATTCTCGATCTGTCTACTTTCATTTTTTGAGATGTTATTTCTGTTAACATGGTTTTTTTTTAATTCTTTTTATTTTTGTTGCATTTGATTTATTTTTGGGTAATTGTTGTGGGATCTAGTCCTGTTAGACCTTTTGCCCTAGCTGTGGGGTGACATCAGTGTGTGGTTAGGTCTCTTGATGAGAAGAGAAAAGTGCAAAAAAAAGTTAGAGGAGCAAATGTGTTGGACAAATGGATTCTTAAAAATTGCCACTACATTCTCTTTGTTTTTGGCCCACAATTACTATTTGTTCAAATATTTAAAATTGCTATAGCATAGAATTCATCTATTATATTCTTGTGCCAAACTTCCAGGATTTGCATATTTTATATCCATGTATAATGATAGTTTGCTACATTTTGTTACATCTCTAGATGATTATTCTGCGTGAAGATAGGATAGGATGCTGCCCTTTGATGCTATTTCATTCTTCTTGTACTCTATGCTATTTGAAATTAAATGTTTCTCTCGCTTAATCAAACAGTGGATATCGATTCCATTTCTCATGTCTCTCTTTGATTTTGGAGCGTTTGTTGTAGCTATTAAATTCAGTGAATAGATTCATAGTTCCCACCTTCAATTCATCTTGTGCATTTTATGATTGGCATCGGTGGCTGGGGAGGGTTTGGTGCCGAAGCTGGAGTTGGAGGTGAGCTGTAGGTGGGGGCGGTGGTTGGAATTATGTACTTACAAATTAGGGTTAGAATCTTGTCCAAAAGAATAATTTAATTAAGGGATAAATTTGTAATAAATAAATAAAAAATTGAACGATGGTAGGTGTAAATAGAATTACCCATGACAATCATAAAAAAAAATAAATAAATAAATTGGATTTTTTTGTTTGTATGGGTTTTACATAGTCTCCACATAAATAAATGATTCAAATTTATTTGTGACATGACTACGTACTTGGTGTAAAATTTCGAAGGCTCTCCATTACTTGGTGTTGGTGGCATCAATTGGAAAATGTTTGAGATTCACAAGAAGTTCTTATAATTTGACCTACACTGAAGAAGTATGATAGGTGCCAATTTTTTATTAGTTACACATTCATTTATATAGAGCCTACCTTCTTTGTTACATCATTGTGGGTGAAATTATAGGTAAATTTGTGATCTTAAAATGCGAGTATCTAACATTACTCCATCAAAATTGGGTAAATTACATTGGTTACTTTTGAATTTAAAAAAAATATATATATATAACAAACTTTACAAATTACATCAACTTCTAATATTAAAACGGGTGAGACTCATGCAAATGACATATACATATAAAAATAAGTAAAGGCGAGGTATATTTTTTTAAGTAAAAAAATATGGCAATATTATAATAATGATATACTGATGAAAATGATACAAGTTTTCGATGGTTTAAAATCTTATAAACTTTCAAGTGTAATTATATTAAACTTATAGAAGTCAACGCATTTTTTTTTTTCCAAATCTCAAAAGAAAGCTTAAATTACCTCATGGGGCGTTTGGCATATAAGAGTCGCCACCTAAATATTTATTTTGGAAAATTTAGGAAACCCATGACTCATGCCAAAGGCCATTAGTCTGTTGTTACCAAAGTGTCTTGGTTCGAGAACTCAGGTATGAGAGGGGAAGGTCAATAATTGAACACCCTAGTCACCCGATCAAAGATCGGCCTCTACTAATCATGATGTGGTTTTTATGAACAGTATATGCTCTTGTTCTATATGTAACATACAAGTATAGACTAATTTCACGAAAAATTGGAACGTTTGATTTCATGTTTGTTTTGAAACAAAAGTGTTTTGAATATGTATCACTTAAAATGGTGATCTCATATATACATGAATCAAAGTATCCCAATTCAAGTGATTAGCCTTCATCCACAAGGTTTATTATATATATGATTTACACATCAGAGGTGGTGTGTGTAATTGGCCATTTTTATTTTTAGATATTTGGAAGTTGGATATGTTGTTGGCAAGCTATTATCAAACTTGTAATGCTCAATATAATTTTTTCAAACCTCAAGAAATAGTAGTGTAATTTATTGAAATAAAAAATAATATAAGAAAAATGTTAATGACCACCCTGTACAAATTATATAAGAATATATAAGTAGTTCATAGAAATATTTAAAAAGATGTTAAAAATGCAATAAAATTGTATATATTTTAGCATTTCCTCCACTGTGTGATATTGTTAGCACAACCCTATATTTAAAATATATAAAAAAAAAGAGTAAGATAAATTAAACTAACTTCCCTCATGCTTTTGAAAAAAAAGACAACAAATTGTACAAATTTAGCTTAATTACATTGTACTCCCTGGAGATTTAAATTGACATATCACTTTGTTTCCTTATCATCAAATATCTGATAATCATATGAATGAAAATAATATTGTCCTATTTATACCGAAATATATATTTTATTTTAATTATCTTCCACGTGTCCACACACCACATGCATTAATCTAGTTTGCTTTACCTTTACTAAAAAGGAAATCCACATACTTATGACAAACTTATTATGAGGCTTGTATTTTTTCCAAATCTCAAGTGTAATTTACCCTTAAAAATCAATGTTATAAAAACTAATAAATTTCATGAACTTTTGTTATTAAATAAATCTCATTTTGCCAAACAGCAATCATCTTTCTCAATCAGTTGGGTATTAGTTCACCTACTCAAATCTAAAAAATGTGATAAAATACATCAGCAAACTACATGCGGAACTTTCATATGTGAAGAAGAAAATAATGTCAAAAATGTGCAGCCACGACATTTTTATAGGATTAGACAATTACTATTTACAATTTTAGAATGGAAATGATCATAAATTCAAAGAATAGTAGTTTTAAGAACATGGTATGGGATTGGAAGTAATAGAAAACTATGATAACAAATAAAAATAAATCAGTTAATCTATCATCACCCGGGAAATTCAGCAGAAGTCGCTCGGTTTGCCAATTTTAATGTCCTGCTCCGCTAAAAAGCCTGTAATGGCATTTCTTTGCCAACTTTGAAGCTCCTGCATCCATCGGTAAATAATTGACGACCTTAGTTAGATTACCGGTAAAACATATGAACAAAGTCCCTGCCAATTATGCTCATAAAAAGTAAAAAATAAAAATCATTCCACCATGCAAGATTATAGACTAAATTACGGTAAAATACGAGGCTGTGGAAAAATCCCACATGGAACTCTTAGCTCAATAAAGTATTATCAGACACGTATTCTTCGCATTACACATTAGACAAATCTGTGTAATCAAGTCAATTTGATATTTTAATTACTTTGTATAACTTCAAGTGGTTGGTGGGGTAAGACTTTAAAATTTCCAAGTTTAATCACTCCCCTAAGCCAAAGTCAAGTACAATGTTTAAAATTCAATTTCTTGACCATTCAAGGCTCAAGTATGACTTGTACAACTAATTTTTCAATTTAAAAAGGTTTTAAAATAAATTTCTTGACCATTTAAATATGAATTATACAACTAAGTCTTCAATTTAAAAGATGTTTAAAAATTAATTTCTTGACCATTTAAGGCTCAAGTATGACTTATATAACCAATTTTTCAATTTAAAAGAAGTGTACTCAATTTTCAAGTTTGTACTAGATCGTACAAGTGTGCTTTCCTTGTAAAGGTATATTTGGTGAAATATCCTTCATAAATTGTAAATATTTAATTTGTCACACATGAATCACATTTATCTCAAGATCATAAAAATGCAAAGTATAGAAAGATGAACATCAAGATTTTTATAGTGGTTTGGTGACTTGCCTATATCAACTCCTGACATCCCTACCAGCATTAATCCACTTTAATCAAACCGATTTTCACTAGGGTAACCCAAAACCTTTACAATCACTCCTTCAAGGATTTTAACTAGGTACCTCTTCCACAATCATATAATGGGTTTAGGCTCACTCAAAATCACAAACTTAAAACGATGAGACAGCTAATCCTACGCTGTGGTCCTCTCTATGGTCATCCATGCTACACAACATGGTCAAACAAGCTGAGAAACTTAGGTTTTTATGGTCTTTGTTTGTTTGTAGTAACTTGGTTCTATCCTAATTCAAAACCTTCTTCATGCCGATGAAGCTCTTCCACAACACTTAATGCATGCCGAAGAAAATGTCCCATCACTTCAAGCTTCTAAGGTGTTGTAGGTAGTCAAATGTGCTCTCTTCATAGTAGTGACTTCAGTTCTATAAGAGAGACCTATTTTGATTTGTGTGACATCTCTAACAAATAATGCAGATGTCGAAACTAACCATTTTATGGTGCTGGGCAAAATTAGCATCCCCACAATTTCAAGTTTATAGTAGTTTTTCTTTTTACACAAGATGAGCATTTAAAGTATGATAGCAGGGCTTTCTTTGCATCAAGGGGATTATGTGAACTTCCAATGTACTTGGCAAATACCTAACTTGTTTAATCCCCTTATGAATGATCTCATAATTGATTCATCCACTGATTGCTAATTTGCATTTATACTGTTCGATTGATAAGATTTTGTGAGAGAAGAAATGAAAAATGAGAGCTTGGGTTGGGGTCGCTCTTGTAGAAATTCCAGGTTTTATGCTCTTACAAAATCTTAGCAATCAAACACAGCATTATGGTAAACTTGGTTTTATGTCTATGTATTAAAATAAAAAACAATTCTTTGGTGGGAATGACTAACTTGTGATCAAGATGTGCCATAACTTCACCCCCTGGAAAAGCTGCCTTTGTAGTCTCACAGGCAACTTTGATTGCTTCTCTCCAAGTTCCACCAACACCCTCCACATTTGTCTGTTTAGATTGACCCAGATCTTCCATAGGCAATGAATACCCAGAAAGCAGATGGCCCACAAAAACACCACCTTTCCTGAATTTTTTTTTTTTTAAAAATGGAACTTTTTAATAACAAGCGCCTTTACAACCTCAACTTAGGCATCAAAATTTGAGAATAAAATATTTTAAATGTTAATTTTATTAATTGCAATTTGAAGTTATTTATGAACCCCCAAACAGGACCAGGCTAGTATTCACGTATAATGAAATCAATGCAGATACAGTTTAAGCAAAATGTATAGTTTGTAGTGATAGCAACAATTTCAAAGAGAGAATTGAAAATATTGAACATTGACTTCAGGTGAAAATAACACTGATGCAAACCGAATTTTCATCAGAATTTGCAACTGGCAATGGTGCCAACAGAATTTTCTTGCTTTTTTTTTGTGTGAGTCTTATTTATTTATTTTTTTAGTAAGGAACTGCAGTTTGCTTGTTAATGATGTCATCAACTGAAACATGAGTTTTCTGTTAGGAAATAACACCAATTGAAACAAAAACAAATCTAAACGGATATAAATGTAGGAATTAGGCTGAGGACAAACCACTAGAAGCAGAGTTCTGAGTTATTAGAATCTTTTAATCTTGACTCCTTTTCACATTCAGTTGATCTAAATGGACATGGCTCAAAAGGATAGATCTATTTTATCATGACAAGTTTGATGTATTAAAATATTTCACTGTTTCCAGTCAAAACATTAACCTGATCTAAGGAATCTGTTCCATTGATGCCCCTTTAAACCATTTAGCATATTAGATAAACAAACTAATGGAATACTTGGAAGTTGGCAAATGTATAGTAACTTACAAAACGATATCCATATGCCATGGTGCATAATGTCCACCACTAATTCCCAAGAGGATTTCGCTTTGACCATTATTCCTGCATTATTGAATTTGAGTATAATTCCAAGTAAAAGAAATACATTTTGGGAACAGATTCTTCTATCTTATTGTGTTTCTATTTATACATGTAACATGGAAAAAGTTTACTCTGTTTTTAGAACATGTGTACTACAGCTATAGAAAAGATCAAAAATGAGTTTGACAAGCAAACTGCATTATGTTGATCATACCGGCTCCAGTCTCCTACTGCAGCTCCTCCACCAAGCCCTAAACCTTCCCACACTAACTTCAATCGCCACAGCAGAAACTTCGTTAAATATTAATTAAAATAAAATAAATAAAACACTATGGAAGAAAAATATATCAAAGAAAAAACTTATATAGTCCTATAACCCATCCCAACCTTGAGGGGGGAAATGTATAATTCATGCAAACTTGTTAAAGGATTTGTAGGGAGTAGAAAAAGTTAAACATGCTATGGTGAAGACGGTATAAAGTTTGAAAGAATATTTGCATTAAAACTGGGATTAATAGTTTGTGGGAAAGGTCTTGAAAGCTTAGCACGCCATTTTACATCATGATTTTTCTCTTTTTTGTATTTGGTTGGGGAAAGAAATTTTCAAATTTAACCCAACCAAATGAAATGCAGTGAATATGATGATAGGTCCTACTCAAACAAATTATCTAAAACTTTCCTACAATGAAAGAGGATGGAAAAGAAAGGACTGTATGGAAGCACCTGTGCAAAGCAAAGACAGCAGGAGGAAATCAAAATGCGAAATGTCAAGAATTTTTCAACCAAACCCAACCAAATGAAATTGCAATGATTATGATGATAGGTCCTACTTTGACAAAGTACCTAAAAGTTTCCTATAATTAAAGAGGATAGCAAATGCATTAAGAGGAACCCAAATGACAAATTCAAAAACGACTCATTCGGTCACAAATTCAAAGTTTCCTATTATGATTAACAAGAAGATTTTGATCTCCAAAGACAGCAAACTAACAAAAGCTTTTCATATTATATTATCTATACAAAAAGACAAAAAATTACATGGAAAGAAATGGCACAATACAAGAAGACAGTCATTGAGAATTGATCCACGTTCACAAACTTATATCCACTCCAGCTAATCAGGGAACATACACATGTATATATATACATCAATAAGAAAGAAAGAAAGAAAGAAATAAAGACAGAAAGAAAGAAAAAGATACTCAACTAAAGCAATGGCTTGGGCAGTATCCTGCCTCTTCCAGTACTCTTCTGTACTGCCTAGAAAAACAGAAGGAAGCAATTTGCAATGAATTAAATCATAAAAATATCCAACTGGAAATTAAGATTAACAAAGATAATTTCAGGTTTGACCTGTCTATTGCTTTAAAAACAAGCTATTGCATATCAAACATGGGGCGGAAAACAAAAAAAACTGTAAAACATAATCTTATCTTTTAAAAATTGCAAATTGTTTTATTAATAAAACTGGCAGGATTTGTGAAGAGAAGTATACCGATTTCTACAAACATTGTAGGTGAATTAATTTCTGGTCCATGATGAGTCGCTTCCAATGTGACCTACACTGAGCAATACCAATAGGAAACAACCCACCCTATGTATGTGTGCTCACACATGAAGGTATACTTAAAATGTAAATAAAAATATATATCTACCAAAAAAGGAAAGCCGTGCAAGGTAAGGAAAGATACACTGTAAAAAGATAAAAATATATGTCAATTATAATAACAGTAAAATTATTTTATAGGTAAAAAAGAGAAATGGCAGAACTCAAACGAAATTACATGCCAATCAAGGCTAAACTAAAACAAATTCTAGATAAACTCATGCTTTGGGGATATTTATGAAGTTTCATAATTACCTTCTTTTGAACTTTTGAGGCCATGTTCCAACTCTTGTAAAACGAGGTGGGCATAGAAAGTAAATAGAGAAAGGATTCAAGATTTCAAATTATTCAAAAAATGGCCTTCCAAATTTCCGATAAGCAAATTTACATGAACAGAGTGCAAAGCGAGATCAACTAACTCAAGAACATTAGTAGTGAGTGTCTACTAACCACATACATGCATGCAATTTCATTTTTTCCTCGCTTGTTCAATTCACCACATTTGGGCATGTTTCGAATTTTATACTTTTTAAAACTATTTAATTGAATTTGGAAAAAAGTAGGTCACTACATTTTAGGAAATGAGGGGAAACATGGTTGAAGATGGGAGATAGTAGAGAGCCAGATAATAAAAATGCGAATTAGGTATAATTATTTTGAATACTTTTAAAATGATGGAGGAGCTTAGAATCTAGTAATTTAACAAAATAAGTGATAATTAAAAAGACTAACAACGTGTTACCTCAAATTCAGGAATGAGATTATGTGATTCAGCAATAGCCTTCAAGAGCCTCAACCACGGTCCTATTTGACGATTAGGTGGTGCTGCCCACCCAGGCTTTCCACCTGCAGGTGGAACCTTGTCTTGGCGTAAATGAGGCACGCCTAAACCAAATGTCACACACAGAAAACATTGCACAACGACACATAATCAGTACACATAATGCATATCACAGCAAGTAATTCAAGGAACAGTGAATCAAAACCTATCAGCATAGTTTTAGTACCAATTGGATGAACAGTAAGCATGGGACGATTTGAGGCTGCCATGTGCTTGCTGAAAAATATGACCTCATCGACAACTTCTCCAGTCGCCTCCTCACAACGCTTGTCCAAGTGATCCTCCCTCACAATACTCTTATCATGCTTCAGTAACCTCACTGCCCTATTTGTAAAACTCGACATATCCTATACACAAACCCACAAAAATTTAGTCCTAAACCAATATAATCATGATAAGAATTCATACATTCGTCATAAGGGGCTTTAACCATTTCACATTTTTCTTTAAATTTAAATTAAACAGATAGTATATGGAAAAACTTTATTATCAAACTACGAAAAAATGTGATTAACAACCACACCAATTTTTTCTTAATGCATATAACTATTTGAACTATCTTTCCGCATTCTATTTTTCCCAGAAGTGTTGAAAACCCACAATACTTTCACACACACACAAAAAAAAAAAAAAAAGGAAAT